CATTTTTAATTTTTAGTGATGATTAAAGAATAGTATGTGTGAGTTCTAGCTTTAACATCAGCACATTATAAATAGTAGACACTGACCTGATATTACAGCATGAGAAACGAAGACTTATGAAAAAGCATTCTGTTTTATGAACTCTAAATTTATCTGAATCCTTCCATGTGTACTTAAAGGATCTTATCCCCAGCAGGTTTTATTCTTCTGAACTATAATTAGGTGTCTTTTTTCCATTTTAAGTCCAGGATCTGAAAGGCAGAGGAATCCATTTTCTTTGCTGTTTGTAATTTCAACTTGTTGTATTTACTCTGTCTCATCACATCCAGAACATCTTCAGATAGAGAAGTCCTTGCTAATAAATAGAAAGGTTCCATTAGCATCCTCCGCACATTTCCTTGACTTTATGTCCCTCCCCAAATTTTATGTTCTTCACCTCGTGCTGCTGCAATAATAATAGCTGACGAGTGAATATGTGCGGTTGCCTAAGCTACAGACGGATGTGTGTAATACTCTTAAAATCCTGTGAGGTATCCTTTTTACCTTAAAGAAGGGCACTCGTTCAAGGTCACAAAGTCATTGCAGAGATAGAGTTTCAGATTGCACACCAGACTGAGGCTGTAAAAAAAAAAAGACACCCAGAAATTGGTTGTTTTGTAGTGTCTTCCTAATTTAAATTTAGTGGAATAACCAATTTACATTAGAACTTACATTATAATCAGAAAGGTGTTCTGGTAGGATTAACATATTTGACTCTGCTTGAAATAAGTAGGTTAAAAATGTTTGGGGAGAACACGGTATTAATGGAGAGTTTCTGACAAATGAGTCATTTCTTTTTTTTTTTTTTAACATATTTTATTGATTTCTTACAGAGAGGCAGGGAGAGGGATAGAGAGTTAGAAACGTGGATGAGAGAGAAACATCAATCAGCTGCCTCCTGCACACTCCCTACTGGGGATGTGCCCGCAACCAAGGTACATGCCCTTGACCGGAATCGAACCTGGGACCTTTCAGTCCGCAGGCTCTATCCTCTGAGCCAAACCAGTCAGGGCAAATGAGTCATTTCTTGAAAGAGTTTTACAATTGCATTTGAATCTTAAAGTGATACTTTCTTTCTTGTTCTAAGTTTACCACAGAATTTGACTCTAAACCCAAAATCTTGTTACATGACCATTAATTTGCATGCTTTTAAAAATATTTTTAATGGATTTTTGTAGTGTGAGAAGAAGGGAGAGGGAGAGAGAGAAATATTGATGTAAGAGCAAAAAATCAATTGGCTGCCTCCTGCATGCCCCCTACCGGGGATTGAGCCCACAAGCAGGGCATGGCAGCTTCTCAGTATACCGGGTGACACCCTTCCAACTGAGCCACACTGGCTGCATGTTTTTATAAATTTCTTTCTGTGAGTTTACTGGTTTTCTTAATTTTTCAAAATGGTAATGGTGACTTTTTATGATCAGATTTTAATTATTTTTATTGAATATTAAAAATTAGGTACAAAGTCAACCACTTATAATAAAAATACTCAGGCCAAAGCCGGTTTGGCTCAGTGGATAGAGCTTCGGCCTGCAGACTGAAAGGTCCCAGGTTCGATTCCGGTCAAGGGCATGTACCTGGGTTGCGGGCATATCCCCAGTAGGAGATGTGCAGGAGGCAGCTGATCGATGTTTCTCTCTCATCGATGTTTCTAACTCTCTATCTCTCTCCCTTCCTCTCTGTAAAAACTCAATAAAATATATATTTAAAAAAATTTTAAAAAAATACTCAGAACATTTAAAATGTTAAAACCTTAAACTGCTATTCTGATACACATGTAAAGCAAATAGTGCATTTTTTTCAGTCAGGTGTCTTAGAGATGCAAAAATCAACAAAATCTGGTCTTTCCCTCAGGGGACAAGAAATCTGGGGAAACCAGGACAAAAATAAAGGTTTCAGTAATAAACAATTTCATTAACAGCCATTTCAAATCAATCCCACCTCCTCCAGGAACCCTCCCAGCTTCCCCCAGCCCAGGAGGAGAGGTAGATGCCCCTGAGTCACACTTTCAACTTGCGCTGCCCTGAGGTTGAGCACCTGGTCTTGCAGTACCTGGACCTGTCAGCTTCTCAAAAGCAGGCCCTTCTCATTGGTCCCTCACTCTGTGCTCCTCGGTGGGCAGTGGTTAGAGCACAGGTTTCAGAATCAAGTTTGGGTTCTGGTCTCAGTTCTGGTGATTCCTAGTTGTGCAACCTGAGCTAGTGAAGTCACTAAACCTGTCAGTGTTTCATCTTCCTTAGCTCAGGCTGCTTTTAGGCAGTTTTTTAACAGGAGAATGGGGATTAGAACTGTACTTTAAAAGATGGGTAGAATTTGGATCAGCAAACGACCCTTTGTGTAGCCAGGTGGAAAATGGCGAAACATTTAAACTAGCCATCACTAGTAAGTCAGCTCTATTTCTCAATTTTCTTACCAGGATTAGAATTGGTCTGACCTGGTGGTGAGTCCTTGATGGGCCACTTAGAAGCTGTTAGCACCTTGGGCAGATTACCTTCTCTCAGACGTGGCCTCCTCGTGTCTGTAACAGGAGACGTGATGCTTAACTTGCAGGGCTGTGGTGAATCCAGAGTAGTGTGTGTGAAGTACTTACACTTCTCAGTTCAGTCCCATGTGGTCCCACCCTACTTCGACCCTTTACATACTCCAAATATTAAAGGTAAATCATGGATATATCACATAAATTAATCAGCTACTTTAACAAGCTAGATAGTAAATGACGCGGCATTAATTTTGTAAATGTCATCATGGTGCTTAGCCTGTGTATGTCATACTGTTTGAATGTGGGCCTGCTTTGTTTTTCTTTTTCCCAGATGGTATATTACTTACGGTCATGAACTCATTTGGAAGAACAGGGAGCCTCTAGTAAAAATTTGGCATGAAATGAGGACTAATGGCCCCAAAAAAGGAGGTGGCTCTAAGTAAGACGGGTTGGACGACCCTGGTGCATCTGGTCCTTGCTGCCGGGAAGCCCCAGGAACACATCGGCCCTGGAGTGACCACGTCTGTGCTCCTGCCTGGAAGACACCGGCTTCTGCTTTCCCAGAATTCTAAACTGTGTCCTCAGTACATGTCTCACTAGAAAGTGAACTGACAATGTTGTGACATAAAGGTTTATACTCTAGTTTGTAAACAGAGGGTGTGTGTCTCTTCTGAAGAGCAGTAGTGCTGCCCTGGGATCCTGTTATGTCTGATGTAGGTTGAGCTGTGAACCCAGCAGGGTGCACAGGGGAAGACCGGATGGAAACTTGGAGGGGAATCTGGAATGGCTCCCAGGTTTTTGCACAGTGGCCTTCTCACATCTCTGCTAAGCACTTACCCTTACCTACCTGCCCCTTTCCTGGGCTGACTAATAGGTCAAAGTTAAGAGTATCTTCTCTGACACGGTCTGAAACAACAGCTGCATTATTTTATAGTTTCCCAAGAGAGTTAATGTTTCCTGGCAGTTAGGGGCATACACAAAAAGCTATTTTTAGGCTTTTGCTTTCTTGGTTAACATTGAAACTTAATGAGACTTAAAGGAAATATCTCAGATAAATTCAGACTAGAGCCTGAGCCTAATTGCATCTTACATTTGAAAAGATACATTCTTTGAATTTAAGCATTTTACTGAAATACCAGACAATGGTCATCATAGTAGCTTCACTTTTGTGCAACTAACTTGCCCTCATGATTGAGAGTTATTTCTAGGAAATGCAATTTGAGAATTTAAGTTTTTCGTGAGTAGATTTACCAGAGGAGTTTATTTTTAAAAAAATATTTTTATTGATTTCAGAGAGGAAGGGAAAGGGAGAGAGAGAGAGAGAAACATCAATGATGAGAATCCATCAGCTGCTTCATGCAAGCCCCCCCATTGGGGATCGAGCCTGCAACCTGGGCATGTGCCTTGACTGGGAATCAAACTGTGACCTCCTGGTTCATAGGTTGATGCTCAACTACTGACCACACCAGCTGGGCAGGACTAAATATTTCAGTCACCAAATCTAGGTGGCTAATTCCTGGTCCATGGAGGTCACACAAAGGCAGCTGCTCCACTGGTGTTCACAGTATGCTCCTCTCCTGGAGCCTCCTACACCATAGCCTGGCCAGGGGAGCCCTATGTCCCTTGGCTGTGACTCCAAGCTGAGACAGGCAGTGGTTTGGAAGAGGAACCCCACTGTGAGGGCTGGGCTGTACTGCACTTCTCTCTGAGGTGCAACACCTTGGATACCATCCAAGAAAGTGCTTGGAATGCAGCTCTGGGTAACCAGTGCTGTTGCATTAGTGTTATTGGTATGATCGCTCTGCAGTGTGCACCAAGGCCAGGTGTCAAAAATTCAGGAGACCTTTGCCTTAGCCAGTTTGGCTCAGTGGGTAGAGCATCAGCCTGCGGACCAAAGGGTTCTGGGTTCAATTCCCGCTCAGGGCACATGCCTGGGTTGCAGGCTCGGTCCAAAGTGCATGAGGCAGCCAATCAATGATTCACTCTCAAAATTGATGTTTCTATTTATCTCCTCCTCTTTCCTCTCTGAAATAAATAAAAATATATTTAAAAATATATTCAGGAAAACTTTGATTGTGGCCAGGGGCTTGTTTCTGATGCTTGCATGCAGTAGACTGACCATTAGCCTCGAGGATTACCCAAATTTAGCTTTGCAATAAAACAAGAATATAGGCCCAGGAGGGAAGGGAATTTATAGTGATTATAATGATCATTTACAGTCATCATTACAGGGTTAGCTTCTGACTACACGTTGTGGCTGTCTGTCCATGTTACTAGATCTTCCACTATGTAGCATAGTGGCCAAAGATGTGTGGCAGTTTTATAAACTAAAAGCCTTCCACCATGCTTTCAAATGAGAACGTGGGAAAGGTCCGTTGAGGGCTAATGCCGATTCCCAATGAAAAGTGGGTTGGTTGTCACACATTGAGCATTGTTAAGGCAAATGCTGGTGCCTCACGGCTGATTGATGCGTTTTCTCGGAAGCATGGCCCCAAGTTTTCCCCTTGTCCCTCTCATCGCTGCGAGGCCTCGCCTGCGTGACTGCGAGTCCCTGAGGTGCAGCCCGGCCCTCAGAGTGAATGCGGCAGCCTCGCCACGGCCACGCGGTCCCCAAGACAAACCCGCGCTGAGGCGGCCGCCCCGGGCGCTGGCTCAGGGCGATCCACAAAGCCAGGCCTGATTTATACGGTAACATTTAGGGAACTTGGACTATATTAGGGAACATGCTAAAAGTTGGACCTTTGTCAATGCCTCCAGGCAGTTTCGTCCACCCCCTGATCCCC